GTCGTCCTTCAGGATAGGTTGTAGATCCTTGATGATGCGTTGGAGAGGTTTTAGTTGGGGGCTGAAGGTGATGGCTAGTGGTGTTGTGTTATTTTCTTTGTTGGGCCTGTCCTGTAGTAGGTGACTCTTCTGGCTCTGTCAATCTGTTTCTTCACTTCAGCAGGTGGGTATTGTAGTTGTAAGAATGCTTGATAGAGCTCTTGTAGGTGTTTGTCTCTGTCTGAGGGGTTGGAGCAAATGCAGTTGTATCGTAGAGCTTGGCTGAAGACAATGGATCGTGTGGTGTGGTCTGGATGAAAGCTGGAGGCATGTAGGTAGGAATAGCGGTCAGTAGGTTTCCGGTATAGGGTGGTGTTTATGTGACCATCGCTTATTAGCACCGTCATGTCCAGGAAATGGATCTCTTGTGTGGACTAGTTCAGGCTGAGGTTGATGGTGGGATGGAGATTGTTGAAATCATGGTGGAATTCCTCAAGGGCTTCTTTTCCATGGGTTCAGATGATGAAGATGTCATCAATGTTCATTCCGTCTGGGGCACCTGGCATTGGCCACTGTCGGAAGACAGGATACTGGGCTAGATGGACCTTTGGTCTGACCCAGTATGGCTGTTCTTATGTATGTTGCAGTGATGTAAATCTTTGGTGTTGACATATACTAAAATCTTAACTGTGCACACCCAAGGGATACAAGCTTCACATCACCCGCTTCACCAAACTGCCCCCTCCTGATTCGACATACTGTTGCACCAAATATACTAAATTCTTATCACTTGGAAGTAGTTGCAGAAGAACAGGTTGAGGAAGCAGAATAAAGTTGAAGTGCATCATCTATGATATATAGTATTTGGAGTAATTTTAAGGTGTATGATTATGGATAGAGAGGAGGTTATATAAAAATTAAGACAACTTTTCACTTCCTTGCTTTTGTAGCTTTATTCAGGTATTTTATAACTACATCTAACTGCTTCACAATAAAGTTTTAAAATATTTTAATTACATTAATAAAATAATAGGTTTTTTAAATTGCTTTTACAAAATACAAGTTTTCAGCCAAAAACACTGCATGGTAACTCTTTAAGTAGCTATTCTTCCATAATTAGTTCCAGTGCTATGGAGGATGGGGACAGTTGTTATGAACATTCAAAAATTTATAAAGAGTAGGAGATGCTTAGGTAAAATCTTTAAACTTTTTAGTCACATGAAAATAATTTCTGCTCATTTGAGTAGTTTCATCAGAAATCAACGACATTCTTCACATGAGTAGAGATTACACACATAAATTAATAACTGCATTGTTTTAGTTTATAAATCCCTCTCCACCAAGGAGTTCAAATAGCAGAACAAACAGCTAATATGCAATAAAACTTGAAAGCAGAAGAAAAATGTAAGAACTCTGAGTGACAATGTTATTAGTGAGGTGGGTGAGGTAATATATTTTATTGGACCAACTTCTGTTGGTGAGAGAGACTAGCATTTGAGCCACACAGTGCTCTTTGTCAGGTCTGGGAAAGGTACTCAGAGTGTCACAGCTAAATGCAAAGTCAAACAGATAGTTTAGCATACATAGTTAGTATTAGGGCTGTCAAGCCATTAAAAAAATTAATCACGATTAGTCGCACTGTTAAATGATAATAGAATACCATTTATTTGAATATTTTTGAGTGTTTTCTACATTTTCAAATATACTGATTTCAATTACAAAACAGAATACAAAGTGTACAGGGCTCACTTTACATTTAATTTTGATTACAAGTATTTACACTGTAAAAAAACAGAAGAAATAGTATTTTTCAATTCACCTAATACAAGTACTGTAGTGCAATCTCTTTATCGTGAAAGTAGAACTTACAAATGTAGAATTATGTTAAAAAAAAAACTGCATTCAAAAATAAAACAATGTAAAATGTTAGAGCCTGCAAGTCCACTCAGTCCGACTTCTTGTTCAGCCAATCGCTCAGACAACAAGTTCTCACTTTCTGGTGGCATTGTAAATAAGAAGAGGGTAACATTATCTCCTGCAAATGTAAACCAACTTGTTTGTCTTAAGCGATTGGCTGAACAAGAAGTAGGAAGGAATGGACTTGTAGGCTCTGAAGTTTTACATTGTTTTTGAGGCCAGTTGTGTAACAAAAAAAACTGCATTGTATGTTGCACTTTCATGACAAAGAGATTGCACTACAGTACTTGTATGAGGTGAACTGAAAAATACGATTTCTTTTGTTTATCAATTTTACATTGCAAATATTTATAATAAAAATAATATACACTTTGATTTCAATTACAACACAGAATACAATATATATGAAAATGTAGAAAAACATCCAAAATATTTAATAAATTTTAATTGGTATTCTGTTGTTTAACAGTGCGATTAAAACTGCGATTAATCGCAATTAATTTTTTTAATCATGATTCTTTTTTTTTAGTTAATCACATGAGTTAACTGTGATTAATCGACAGCCCTAGTTAGTACATATTCTAAAGGACCATTCAAGGTGAAATGGACTGTTATCACTCCTGTAGTCACAGGACAAAATGGGAGGTTAGTGAGTCACAGATTGTTTTAATAAGCCATAAATCCAGTGTCTTTATTAAGACCATGATTTTTAGTGTCTAGCAAAGTTATGAATTTAAGCTCCCAGACTCATCTTTTGAAAGTGTTGCGCAGGTTTCCTTTGAGGATGAGGCCTGATAGGTCAGATATAGAGTGATTGCTTTGTGAAAAGTGTTCACCCATAGGTGATATGGTGTTTTTGTCTTTTATCATTCTCCTGTGTGAGTTCATTTGAGAGCATAGTGATTGTCTGGTTTCAAATTCATAACTTTGCTAGACACTAAAAATCATGTTCTTAATAAAAAACGTTGGATTTATAGCTTACTACAAGAGTCTGTAACCCGCTACCCCCCGTCATGCTGTCTGAAATGGCTCACGACAGTGAGTGTCAACCTCGGGGCAGACAGTCAGAAAGCAGTGCTGACACCCCAAACTGGTGGTATGTTCTAGAATTAGATTTCACCAACTCAATAACAAATGTGAACTCCTATAACAGTCTTACCATGGAGTCACAGACAATCCCCCGGGTGCACTATCTTGCCACCCAAGCAAGCTGTACTTAGTGATAAATGGTCACTTGCACCATAGATCATAAAATATTCAGGTTGCTCCCAGTCCCAGGAGACCAGTCACTTACCACAGGTCAGTTTGTACCTTAGACCTTAGTAAACTCCTAACTAAGGATTTATTAGCTAGAAAAAAGAAATGACAAGTTATTTACAGGTTAAAGCAGGCAACATGTAATACAAATGAGTTGCAGTCTATGGTTCCAAAAGGTGACAGAGATATAGTAATCTGTCAGCATTGAATGTCTTCTAGGGCTAACCCAGGTTGATCTTGGAGATATCTGCTTTTTGTTTCCTAGCTTCAGCCCTCTGAGAGTCCAAACAGCAAAGAGTTGAAGAATTTTCATGTCTGCTATCTTTACTTTCTGCTTTCAGAATTCATGTTGATGAGATGAGCTTCCTTGCACGTAGCACTTTTATTGATGTAAGGAGGCCGTTAGCCAAATCTTTGTATTGTGATGCTTCACAATTGCCTAGTTTTGATAGTCCTCCTTGATGGACAGGTGAAACACTCCTCCTGTCTGAGTTCACAAGTTTAGAGCAGGCATTTTTACAGTTATAAAGCAAAACTTATGTATTGCCTTATAGCATGGGATACAGACATTACAAGTAAGATTAATGCATGCTGGAACTTACAACCATTTTATAGACTAAACACTAAATACATCCTTACAAGTCTAACACCTATGTTGAACAATACTAACATACAGGTAAGTTGGTCTGGTTTCCAGCTATGAATGTGTCAATGCTCAGCTGATGCCTACAGCCTTGGCAAGAGCTGGTCTACCAGCAGCACACCCCTTTTTATCCTGACTACAGAGGTGTTAAAGAGCCACTTCACCTTGAACTGTCCCTTAGAATATGTGCTATCTGTTCAACCTTGTATTTAAGTGTGAAACTGACCTGAGGAAGAGCTCTATGTATCTAGAAAGCGTATCTCTCTCACCAACAGAAGTTGGTCCAATAAAAGATACTACCTCGTCCACCTTGTGTCTCTAATATCCATGTACCGACATGGGTACAACAGCACTGCATACAACAATGTTATTAGTATCCTTCCATGTTCCAATTCAATATTAAAAGATATTTTAATTACAAACCACTAAAAGATAAACATGTACAGTATTTTAGCATGCTCTAATGTTACTTGGCAAGCAAAGGCTAATAAGTGTCTAAACAAAGAACTGTGTTGTTTCTTCCTACTAATTAGTGCCATTTGCAAGAATGACTGCTGATTGTCTTTTTAAATGTGGAAGCTGCAGAATATATGTTCAGGAGCACATTATTTTCCAAAATTAATTCTCTTTTTGAATTCTTTGCTTTTTCTTTCCTGTGTTGCTTTTGCCTTTCCTGATCGAAGGCTAGGAGAGTAAGTCTATGTTTTAATAAGCCCTTTGTTTTTCTAGTGAATTTGTTGACATTTTTATCACCCTACTTGTTTCTTTCATTAGTTTTTTTAAAATTTATTTGGGGAGATTCCATTTATTAAAAAAATATGTACACTATGTGTATTTTTAAACTTAATTAAAATTGAGGATGATTACTGGTGTTGTTTCCTATATAATTGTGCGTGTAAAACTTACTTGCTTTCCTTTAACAATTTATGATGAGCCTTTTTAATTCCTTCGTTACCTTGGGACACACACCTGCATTCTTTATATACTAAAATTCAGAGTTTTGAATATTACATGACCTGGTCATGTATTTATTGTAGCGTCCATAACTAGTTATTAAACTTCTTAGTTGGGATTCCTTGTTTGAAAAATCTGTTATTACATAAAGTGGGAGGAGGTGGGGAAGGAGAGGTAAACTACAATCAATGTGAGATCTTGTTACATAATGACATCAAAGTTTTTGTAATGGCTTTTTCCCCTTCTATAGGATTCCCAGAGCAGGCAAGGAGGATATAGTATGCATCAGCTTCAGGGAAATAAGGAGTATGGAAGCGAGAAGAAGGGTTATCTCTTAAAGAAGAGTGATGGGTATGTAGTTGGAGTATATAATACACTAATATGAATTATTTTATATAATTGATCACCATCAATATACAGTGTATGCGCTGAATTTTTTGAGTTTGTACATTTTAAAAACATACATGATTAAAAGAATTCTTTTAATTTACGGATTAGAATGCTTGCATATCTCATTTGTGAAGTGCTTATTTTCTCTTTAGACATTGTTAAAACTTAGAATTTATGAAAACTATTTAGAAATAAAAAGTCAATGTTGTTTGGTATATCAATTCATGTGGTGTGTAACATAGAGACATCTGAATCACACTTCATGGAGATATGTAAACCTGTGATTAACTTGTGTGTTAAATTTTTATTACTTGTCCCATTGGATGTGCAGAAGATGTTGTTTACTTACCCCATTTGATATCATTTAGTGCTCTTGAAAATCCAGAATTTCTACATTTGAACATAAACTACTAGATTCAGATACTTCTCAATTCATATTATACACAATTTTAACCCTTTTTGAGACATACTTCTCTGGGCCGTTTGAGTAAAGTTTTCAAAAGCACCTTAGAAACTTAAGAGCCTAAGTCTGTGTTTCAAAAATGACTTCGGTCCTTAGGACCTAGCTCTCTCTCAGAGCTGCTCAATTTTAAAATGGGACTTATGCTCTTAAGTCAGTGAGGCACTTCAGAAGACGTTACCCTTTATAAATAAAAATACAATGGTTAAAAGTTGAACATTTTGGTGTCTAAATGTTTGATTTGAAATTCTTGATTTTCAGGCTCATAGCGTTAACTATAAAATAGAATACGATTTATGTATCTGTAGAAAACTGAGAGAATTATAGTAGTTTACAGGCCGATCCTGCAAGCCTATACTCACTCAAGGTGTTCCATGGGCTTCAGTTAGCCAGCTAATGAAAGACATATTTAAATGAGCAAGTGTTTGCTAGGTTCAGAGATTTAATTTGTAATATTTATATTTTATTTACCAAAAAGTTATTACTTCAAGCAATTTGAATGTAGCATTAAGGATGAAAAAATAAAACACTCAAAGATCAGGAAATACATATCTAACTTTAAAAATGTAATCTTAACTCTTTTTCCTTATGCCAAGACCTTAAAGAGGTTCTCTCTTTGAATTGTTAAGTTATTAAAAATGTTTATTACATTATAAACTGGAATTTCTTGCAGAATCTTACATACAGGTTTCATGCATATCTTATTTTCTAAGTATCATTAATATCTACAAATAAAGCAATTTAAAAAAAGGTTTAGTAGTTTTAGAATCCTTAACTATTCAGATGTCACCAGTCATTTCACATGGGATATTAAACCAGCTGCAAGAAGATAACTGCACTTTTCTACAGACATGAATAATATTTTAACCAAACCTTTGTGACTTAGAAAAAAATCCAAACTTTAACATTTGAAATCTGAAAAATAGTCAGACCTGCAGTGTGAAGGTTGTTTAACAACTTGAGTCATTTTTAGTGCTAGGGCATCAGAAAAGTAAATCTTCTAGCACTAAGATTTTAAGATTTTATTATTATGAAAGAACAGTCTGACTTCATTTTGTTACCTACATTCCATCTGGGTGGTTCTTTTGTTAGCTTCACTTATTTTGTTTCTTTGGTGACAAAAAATGCACAGCCACTGTGTGAGAGCTCTGTCAACCAATAATTCTTTTTCTTTTTAATGCTCCAAAATTTGCTGTCTTCTTCAACATACATAAATTATATAAAACAGATTACAGTAGTCACCCCTTTAACAACTTTTGTATTAGCTGCAAAGATAGGGTGAGGAATGGGAAGACAGGCCAGAATTACATATTAGTGTAATGACAGGTTTCAGAGTAGCAGCTGGTTAGTCTGTATTCGCAAAAAAAAGGAGTACTTGTGGCACTGAATGCATCTGATGAAGTGAGCTGTAGCTCACGAAAGCTTATGCTCAAATAAATTTGTTAGTCTCTAAGGTGCCACAAGTACTCCTTTTCATATTAGTGTAATCTATTCATTGAAAAAATGGAACATTGTGTGGTCATGCAAAATGTTAAATGTGAAATCATAATCCAGATTCTTTATTGCCAGTGTTTTCTGTCTGTAGATGCCAGACTTCTTCCCAAAGATAATATACATTGGTGCCCTAGATATTAGAGAAGTGAAGTCATTAAAAGACCAGTCCAGTCTGTAGTTCATTTACTCCCTATTAATCTAGTAGCACATCAGGAACAGGAGTTACATCAATCAAGTGAGGGCAATGTAGATAAAAGCAGGTAGGAAAGTCTGCAATACTGTCCCAGTGCTCCTGAATGAGGTATTAGTGCTGATGAAAGTTCAGGGACCACTTGGTTTTCCTCTTCTATATAGTGATTTAAGGTATGAATAAAAATAAAAGCCTCAGTAGTGAAAAAAGTAGAAGCTGAACAGCATCTTTTCTTCAGGGAACATAGAGTGAAGATAGCCAACTAACACAGCTTTTATACAGAAATGTGTTGATGGGAGAGGATCCAATTTTCTGCTTTGAACCTTCCTAGAACAAATTTAAATAATTGTTTTCTGTCTCTGAAAAATATTAAATGCACAGCATCAGAACTGCATAGCCTTAAGATAATTGGTACTAGAGTGGAGGTTTTTCCTGCTCCCCATCCCATATAAGAGATGAGGAAGAGTTGGAGAATAGGATTCATATAAGCATAATCTATTGAACTGGGAATTTAACTCAGAGAAATCCTAAAAACATTGATTAGAATCCTACTGTAGTTCTATTTTAATCAGTTTCAAGTACTTTATAGGCTTAGAAGCATGGGGACTACATGAATGATCAGACAGAGTGATAAGCCTTTTAATGTACAAATGCCTTTTTCAAAGAGAATTTAATTTATGACCTTTCAATCAGAGATAAATCAGGGACATGAATTGTTAACTTTGTGGTGGATACAGTTATACATTTTTTTTGTTTGTTTTAAAACGTGGAGACATAAATGAAAAATTTAAGTTAAGCCAAATCAGGTTTGGATTATGTCACTTTTTTATTATTTTACATGAAGAATTCTCCTCACCTGATTAGAAAAGTGAAATTAGGTGTTCGTTTTATTTAAAAGCCTCCATCTATTAAACTAATGCAGTTAATGTAATAAAGCATAAGGAGAAGTGATAACATTTTCAAAAGTAAATTAGGTACTTAGGCACCTAAGTTTAATTGAAAATCAGTGGGACTTGAGCTCCTAAGGGCTGAAGACTCTTTTGAAAATGGGAATTAAGCACTTTTGAAAATTTTACCTAAATCAGTTGGTTTGATGGAGAGTGTGTTGGCTTGCTAATCTATTTTAAATGTAAACAGAATGATAAACGTGTTTATTATCTTTAACTTCTGTTTGTCCTCCAAGTTTGTTGTACAGACAAACTAAAAGGAGCAGTAATTATGTTTGGTTCTTGATATATTGTCCTGTTATTTTTTAGGCTAAGGAAAGTGTGGCAGAGAAGAAAGTGCACTGTCAAAAATGGAATTCTTACCATATCACATGCAACAGTAAGTTGACTTTTTTATACTCCATTATTGCCATAGTGAATTCAATGAACTCAATCCCTGTGAATCTATTGACTGAATTAATATAGATCTGTTATGTGACTATTTAAAGTATGGTGAATAAATACCTCTTCTACCTAGATAATTTAATACCTGTTCACTTATTTGTGAAAAATTGAAAACCATTCAGTTAAGCAAAATAAATGAAAACATAAAAGATTGATTGAATGGTAACATATAATTAATCTATATTGTGTATAATAAAAAATCTAGCATGAAGTAGGTTTTTTGTTATATTTGTTCTTTTGTACACACTGACTTCCAAAGTAAATGCTGAACTGTTTTAGGCTGCTGGAACCTGTTAAGATTTTACCGTGATTTACATTAAACAGCTTGTTGTTAGAGCTAATTCAATAATAAAAATGTATTTGTGAATAATGTATTTGGCAAGTGACAAAATTTTTTGGAGAAATTATTCACAATGAATAAGTCATCTAGTTTTACTTTGTTAGAAATGTTGCTAACTTCCAGGTTTGAGGCATCTAGCTGTTGCTGGGACTCAATGGGAACAACTGAAATCAACAGACAGTATTAAAGAGCACATCTTATTCTTTGCACATTAATAGTAGTAAAATTTGCCCCACAAACTGCAATTTTTTACTTCTTTTATAAATAAAATTAGACCATATAAATAGTATCACATTGTTTTGCCTATCTAGCCATTGGAATAGAGCTGTTGCCAAGTGTTCGGGGCTTATGTTACATATGAGTGGGGTGCAACAGTCTGATTAATGTATTGATTTAGTAAACACTTTCACCAGTTCTGGAGATTTAGGACAGATTCCCGTTGCTTTCAATGGACTTTAGGATGTGGCCCTTAAATATCTTGTGCCGAATAATGTTAGTCCATGGGCAGTTACAACAGATTAACTAAGAAAATGTTTTCCTTAGCAAGTGAATTGGCGTTTAATACATTTATACTGAGGTGCTAATACTAATTTAAAAATATTTTAATAGAACATTCGTACCCAGTTTTAACAGCTGGAATCACATCCTCAATTGCTTTCGTGAATTACATGTTCATCTTACCTATGATTATTGTAATTAAGTGTCAGCCAGATCAATTATGTTCTTGGCTGAACTATTTTTTCCTTCTCCCATAGGCTGCTACATAAAAATATTTTCTTCACTTTTTGTGTTCAGGTAGCAAGTGGGGATGCTGCTCAGACTTCTGTGCAACATTACTCAAACTCCATAGAGGAGGCAAAGTTTGTCTTTGGATCTCACTCTGGATATACAAATGAGTCTATAATTTGATCTGTAAGCTTGAACTTCTTCCATCCACTTCGGGCAATGATCTCATCACATAGCTTAAATTAGGCAGGTTGAGGCCTGATTGGTATTTGCATGGGTGCTCAGCTAGAATGGTGGTATGATGTGAGAACTTCAATAGAACAAAAGACGATGATGATGCAAGATGCCTTATAGTGATAGATCCAGAGAGTTCAAACTGTTTAGCTTAACAAAGAGAATATTAAGGGGTGACTTAATTACAGTCTATAAGTATTTACATGGGAAACAAATATTTAATAATGGGTTCTTCAATCTATCAGAGAAAGGTACTACACAATCCTGTGGCTAGAAGTTGAAGTTAGACAAATTCAGACTAAAAAAAAAGGCATAATTTTTAAATGTTAATTAACAATTAGAACAGTTTACCAATGGTTGTGGTGGATTCTCCATCACTGATAATTTTTAAATCGAAATTGGATGTTTTTCTAACAAATATGCTCTAGGAATTATTTTTGAGAAGTTCTATGTTCTGTGTTATACAGGAGGTCAGACTAGATGATCACAATAGTTCCTACTGGCCTTTGAATCTGTGAATTTGGTGTTGCTGAAACAGATGGTGACACCTTTCCCTGTAAGCCAGTGTTAAGTTTATAATGCATTGTGCTGGTGGAGGTGTCATCTATCAGATGAGGTGTAAAACCTGGTCTTTACCACTTCAGGTAACTACAGATTCCAGATCTTTCACAAGTATTGGAAGGGGTGTTATTGTGACTTTTAATCATTTCCAGTTGGCTAATTTCATTCTTCCTACGCAAAAACACCTTAAAGATATTTTTTTGCTTTACTGAAGTGGAGAGTTGTTGTATGCTGTGAAATGACTGGTATCTTCTACCTCAGTGATGGTAGCATTTGACCAGTGGATGAAGTGAGATGTGTGAGTTTTAATTCATAAAATCAATTTGTAAATGTTGTAAAGGGCTTTGTAAGACAGATTCAATTAGTTATTATTTATTATTATAATATACCACCATTCGTGAGATTAATATCATCTTGGCAAATGACATATAATACAGGATTGGTGTTCCAATGTTGGTATAGGTTCATACGCTGGTATTACTTGTACTGGCATTGCTGAAAACTTGTCAAAACTCACATTGCTACTGGCACAGTGTATCTTCACCAGTACCCCTGCTAACTCAGCAAGTGACAGAGACTCCTTTACGCTTATCTAAATTACAGTAGTTCCATCATAGCTCCTGAAAGGGAAATCTCTACAGGAGCTTCAGTGCCTTCTCCTGATTTTGCAAGTTTTTATTTGATAATTAAGCAACAGGATAAAAATTGATTGCGAACACTAACTTAAGAGAAATATGTTATGATTATCTTTTGGGACGAAAAGCACAAAAGAATGCCTGATTCATATTCAGGTAAGAATATCAGTCTGTTCATTTACCCTCCTGTGTTTGCTTAGTTATAGGGTCTGTTTTATTTAGATGAATAAATAACAGGATGACAAATGATTTCTCAGAATTCCTCACAATGAACAATTACAATTATCTGTCACAAAGGACGTTATTTGCAAGGAGTTTTTCTTCAGTGAACAAGTTCTCAAATCCTTCCAAAAAATTGTTAGTTACTCTTGGTGAAATAGGTATAAAGACCAAAAACTGATTACAATAATTTGGATTGCAGCTTGGGTATGAATTAAGCCTACGTTTACTGCTCAGTATTTGATTTCAAACTGCCCCCCCATATCTGATCCAGAGTAGTTTTTTCAGGAGTTGTTTGACTTAAGGCTTACAGTTGACCTAAGGACAAAGTTAGTTCCAGTACTATGTTAAATCTGATGTCTGATCACAACTCATATGGAGTAGTCCACAGCAAATTCCCTCATTGCTGTTCTAGAGAAATTTAAATTCTCTAGCTTCCATATTTTGGAAGATTTCACTCTTACAAAATCTGTAAACTTTCTCTCAAGGTGTGTGAAAATGTTAGAACAAACTAAGTTCTGATTCATAAGTGATAACTGTAATCCACGTAAAACATAAAAAGCCTTCCCAGACTAAGCATTAAGAAACCTTCTTCAGGTTTATCTACTTTTATTGGTTAAGATTAGGCTGTTACTCAGATTCTAACTAGCTAACTTACCAGGAGACTCAGTTTGCTAAAGTGATAAGTGCCTGCCATGCTGAACTTCAATTGTAATACATATAGAGATCAAGAACTGATTGACTTGTCCTTCTTAATCTTTATACTTTTAAAATTGTATTCCTAGTGGTCATCACCTCCTTTAGTTGAGATAACAACTCGCAAAATTTGACAGCTGACATCTTTCCTTTAAAAGACATGAAGGCAAGATAGTTAATGTTCTTGCTTTGAGATCTTCCCCAAAATACTATATTCTACAGATTTCATATAAACCAAGAGAGTTCTGTGCCTGTGCTTGTCGTCCCTCCAGTCCCTCCCTCCTGCCAGTCTCAGTAAACCTAAGATGGTTTTTCCCCTGTAAAGACTCAAATATTGGTCCCTCCGACTTGAAATTGTAGAAAACTAAAATTGCAATAAGGTCAAAATGCTATGAGAATTCTTTTACATATAATGTTTTTTGTATAACTTGTTTTCATGAGATAATGGCAGCAATCAATTATAAAAGTTAGGTTACTATTTTTACAGCATCCAAAAACATGCTTGGTGCTTTACAGTACAATAAAGTTATGATATGATGAGACATGAAAGGAAACAAAGTGAGGAAGACAAATATTACAGCATTAAGAAAACTTCAGGCCTGTGCATATACATGACTTGGTGATTAGTTTTTTGTTCAGCTCTGCTAAACTAGAATTTTTTCCTTAATAAGGGATGGTGCAGAGGCTGTCCTACTTTAGCTGGTTCTCCAGTTCCACCTGGAACGCAGACCACTCACTTCCTGTAGCAGCAAGGTGTGTCTGTAATTGACAGCACTGAAGACTGAAGCCGTGTACTCTACAGAATAGAAGCATCATGTAGAAAAGCAGCATAAGCTTTCCCTGCTGATTACTGCATCAGTCCTGACCTAGAAGGATTATCTCTAGGGATAAGAAGATAGCTCAGTCTCCAAGCCTATCCTAAGCTTGGTCTCTCTGCTGTGTCTGGCAACAAAGGTGTCATTTATGGTGCTGGCTTTTGTGATCTAGACACCTATGCATTTCAGTGGCATCATAAAAATCCTCTACATTGGGAGGATAATTAAATTATCCCCATTAAAACTTGTTGAAATCAGATAAAGAAGCCAAAGCTGTCAGAAGAACAAATATAGTTAGCTGTATGGGTAATGCAGTTTGTTTTCTTTTTCAGGAGTATATAAGCAAAACAAAGGTGTTTCATTTTTTCTCAGGGCAGTCAGTTCCTTGTAGTTACTAGTCTAGTTATGTCATAACCCAAGGGTTTATCAGAAGACATAGAAATATCAAATACATTCAGTGATTATTTCATTCTCAGCAGAAAGTATGAATGATCCATTGTTTCTCTTTCCCGCGTACTGTATTTAAATGTTTACTACGCACCACCTTTTCAACATACTCTTTTCTGGGCATGTAATATGCATAGTAATGCCTTCCCCCCCACCTTAGTTGACTTTCGTGAGTCAAATTAAAAATGTAATCTATAACCAAAAAGAGAAGGCATTAAATCTTGTGAAGCCTGTCAGTTTTAGAGGTTGAAAGAAAGGTAAA